TATTTTGAGTCTATAGTGTTCATATGTAAAAAATCAAGAAATTATTTTGATTAAAATTAACAAATTCAAAAATTATATTCTAAAAATTTGTTTAGCCTAAATACGATAGCAAGTTATGATATCCTGATTCATTCAAATCCAATGTTATTGATACGCATGAACGGTAAAACAACAACAACAAAGCCTTAATCCCACGAAGTGGGGGTGGCTGCATGAATCATTTTTTAAAACGCAGTTTAATCGTTTGGTTTGCGCGTTTGTGAAAACGTTACATAATGCTTTTGGGTTTTTTTACACTAAACGTAGGTCGCGAGTCGACCCTCGCGGTCGACCTGCTTATTTTAGTAGTGAAAAGATCCTATCAATTATGATAAAATAAACCAATTCAATTAGTTATTGATAAGCCATAGATGATAAATAAATACATGCATTTTACATATATAGCATTTCAAACCTTTATATTTGCATATGTCATACCCCAAAATTGAATTTACCAATCAAACACCAAAAAATTCATTACCTTCAAATATGGCACTTGTGAGACTCTAGTTAGTAACTGATATCAAACCCTAACGAGCATTTCAAACCTTTATATCTGGGATTTTATGCTTTCTGATATATGCCAATACATTGACCTGATTTTATACGGACTAACACAAGTGCACGTGTCGTATAAACAATACAGTAGCGAAGTTCAAGAATGTTCTCACTAGTGTCAATGGTAGATTCTAAAATTAAGTCGAGCACGAGCTCACAAAACTCCTATTCAAAATTAAAACTCTTTGAAAATGTTACCTTATTTTTTTTCTTGAAATTGATTAAAATTTAAAATGCAAAAACAGTCCTATAAATTTTTAGTTTATAAGTCGAACGTTATGGTAAGATTTAAATCAACAATAGTCACCGATCAGGAACAAATGTCGTTCAAATTTTTTTGTCGATAGCATGAAAACTCTAATTTTGAAACCCTCGGACGATATGTTTATGCACTTGGTGATTTTTAAAATTAATTTGTATGCATTTTCCTATGTGCTTGCTAAAGTTAATGAGCTATTCATCTGAACCCTAGCTGTGCTTCCTCCATGTACAATATGTTTTAAATATAAGTGTGGCCACCACTTGATACTAAATCAGGATGGATGGAATCACAAAGAAGTTTTCACTTTACCTCAAAATTAAACCTTAATCACAGCATTCATCTAAAAAAAGATCAATAGCCTAACATGAATTCACAAACTACCTATAAAATTGCTTTTATTTCACTAAAAGATTCAAAGTTTGTAAAAAGTTTAAACAAGTAAGAGATTAGAGAACAATGAAACTCGGATTCCCGAAGATATTGATAATGTTTCAAGTTCTTCTCTCTTTTTATTCTCCTCACTTCACCAGGCCAAGCAAAACTCTCACTCTCACATTTATAGAGTGCTCACTCACTCACTCACACTCTAAGGGTCCGTTTGGGGCAGCTTGTGCGTTTCAGGATAAACTGCTTATTCTGAAACGTGGCCCGTGGGCCGGCCTGGGGGGTCGATCCGCGGCCTGCGTTTAGTGTAAAAGCCCAAACGCAATTTCAGATAAGCTAGTGAAACGCGCGAGCCCAACGGGCCTGCGTTTAGTGTAAAAGCCCAAACGCAGTTTCAGAAACGCGCGAGCCCAACGGTATGACGGCGTTTTGAAAAGGCCGCCCGCACTTATAGGCTGCCCCAAACGGACCCTAAATCTTACACTGACTTCACACTCTTTTACCAAGTCCTACTTATTTTTGTAGGATGACTGTGGTGAGAGGAGGGGTGAATTAGGATTTTAGAAAGTATTAATTAACTAAATTATTTATTATTCTTTTAATAATATTTATTAGAATATTAATCAACACAAAATTTAGATGATTGCATGCAAGGTAAATTGCAAGATATCATAAACACAAGTAAAAGAAATAGCAAGCATAATATCACTGTTTTGAAAACCGGACCAGACCAGTAGGTCGAACCAGTTCCTCATGGTACCGGTTCGGACATAGAGCAAAATTGGATTTGCAGTAAGCTGACATTCAACAGTTTGAATCGCTGGTCCAACCGAAGAGCTGTTAGAACCGTCGACCAGTTTCTTGTTTGTGATCGCTTCACTTTCATCGGATGGGAAGTTTCTGAGTTATCTTCCACCATAGGAGAAAGACAGAGAGATTTTCCAGGTCATTAATGAGATCTGTCACAGAGGCGAGTTTTCAATGGAGAAGAAATACATTGGAGATCGAGCCAAAGAGGGTAAAATAAAGTTTGAAGGAAGAAAATAACTACACAACACACAAAAGTTAATTATTTTTAAATTTTAAATGCTTTTTTTAATTATTATCATCTACATCTTTTGTTTCATATTTATAATTTTAAAATTAATTATTATTAAATTTTCAAATAAATGTTAGAATTATTATAATATTATTAATATAAATAATATGTATTTATTATAACACATGTAAATAAATTTATAATTTATTATGTCATCCGGTTGAACCCCCTTGTTCAACCCCGATTCAACCTTTGAATCTTGAACCTCTCCTTTTATCGGTTTAATGTCCGATTTGTTTTAAAATATTGCATAATATTTTTACATGATTTGACCAACCAAGCCTACATCCACGCTAGCCAACTCTTAAGCTAAAATCCCACTAAATATGAGATTTGCCAAGACACCTCACTTCTTTCACTCTTCTACATAGACGAGTAAAACTTAATCTAAATATAATGATTTTTCACTAAGCAAAATGGCTTAGATATTAAAAAAAAAATTACAAAACTTATAGATTATACAACCTCAAATAATTTTATAACACAATAAACTAATAATAATTTAAGTGAATTTTTAGAGTGCTAATAATCACCTCACAACTTACAAATTGAATGTAAATTTTGATCATTATAAATAAATTTTTATGTTGGCTTATATAAATAATATTATTATGATTTTAAGTTGAAAGAATTAAACACACTAATTTTAAAGATATTTTTTTACTATTATTAAGTTTAGAAAGTAGATATATATTACAATAAGATAAATTTTTTACTAATTTTATTGATGAAGAAATTTAACTACACAAATCTACTCCAAAAAATAAAGTTTTAGAAAATATAAGAGATGAAAAGCATAAGAGCAACAAATAAAGATTTAAAAAGAAGAAAATAAACTCAAAAGACTACAAGAGAGCTTGCTTGATTGAATGCGTAGATGCTTCAAAATTAAGGATGGTAATACATTATTTAAATAAGCCCAGTAGAAGGCTTTGAATTGTCTTGTCACAGTGAATAATTGTATGCTATTTGATGGAAACCCGGAAAGCCTATAAGAGACGTTGAATTCAAATGGCATCAGTAGCATCATAACAGAAAGCTCGATATTCGTCTTCATTGAAAGAAAAAGAGATTGTTGGGTACTTTTTTACATGTCGCTAAATGAGATTATTGCCTAAATAGTTGCAATAACCTATTATAGTGATGATCCATTTAGTCACTAACCCAACTGGAAATTGGTATTGAGTGTGTAGATTGAGAGGACCAAGTTTGTGGGCAAGGCCAAAATTGAGAGTGCTTTTGATATACAAGAGTTGTTTTAATTGAGGATTATAAATGTAGAGTCGATGATGGAAATGTTGAGAGAGGGTGTTAATGATAAAGCCTATGTCATGCATGGTTATATAATGAGGTATTCAAGTAACCTTACAAAGTGCTTGTAAAGAGTTGAAATAGCAAAAAGTTGTTGAGAGTCTCAAAGTAGCTAGACTTTGATGAAGAAAGGATTAGAGAGGGGTTTACAATCAACCATGCTATCTTTTGTAAGGATTGCATATGCATAGAAAGCTTGGGTAAGGATTAGGCCAATGTAGTGTGTTGA